GGCAGGCGCTTTTGCCGCTGAGCTAAATCCCCAGCCCGACATGCCAGTTATTGGCTATGGGATTGAACTGTCATGACTTTGACCCATCATGGCTCATCTCCATAGGCTAGGGGAGTGCCCAGGGTCCTAGCCTCCTCTGCCTGTAGCTGTGTGGTGGAAGTTATCTGTCCCTAGCCCCTGAGTCCCCAGCACTCACAGGAAAGGCCTCATCACCAGCTGCTCCCTATCTGACTAGGGCAGGGGCAGGTTCTCTTGCGGGAAGGCGCATCTGTCTGGAACGAGGCAGGAAATGGGTGGCACGCTGGACTGTAAGCAGCTCACCAACAATCTCATGGATCTTGCCAAGGACATTTCTAGGCTCCTGGCTGCCTCTCCCACCCGGATTTCTAATACTTCCAACCCTCCTTCAGGAGGCTCCTCTGCGGTGAGGCTGTCGAGGAGAGAGACACTTCCACACCATTGATGGGTGCGGAAAGCAGCGCAACTACTACAGAAACCAGTATGGAGATTCCTCAGAAAACTAAATCTGGAAACGCCATTTGACCCAGCTACCACCCTTCTAGGTACCCTCCCAAAGGCGTTCAAGTCATCAGACTGCGGGGATCCCCGCATGGCCACGTTTATAGCAGCGCAACTCACAATAGCGAAATCTTGGAAGCAGCCTCTGTGGCCATGAACAGATGAATGGGTAGGGAAAAGGTGGCGTTTATACACCATGGAGCCCTACTCTGCCATAAGGACAGGTGAACGTGAAGTATTCCTAGGCAAAAGGATGTACCTAGGCAATAATGTTAAGTGGACTAAATCAGGCACACAAGCTTAAATATTGCATGGTTTCTCTTATATGAGAATCCCTGGGCCGGGGAGATAGCTCGGAGGTGCAGCTCCTGCCTGGCAAGTGCAAGGTCCTGAGTTCGATTCCCAGTACCAAAAAAAAACAAAAGAGAGAAACCCAAAGTATAAAAAAAGAGCAAAATAAAAGATGGATAATAGGAAACAGAGATAGAGCTTTTACAGTTGAGAAGGAGACCAAGAAATGGAAGGAAACGGGACATAAAAAGAATTAAGATGTGTTATGTACAGGTACCAACTCCCCACGAGGAAGCTTATCATTTTATACCACAAACACGTACTCATACAAATAACCATTGCTGATAAAGAGGCTCCTCCACGCGGATGGGAAGGGTGTGGGGGTTCTGAGTACTGCGCTCCTGCTCAGGCCCTTTAGGTGCAAACTGGGTCACACCCGCTTCCCTAGAGACCTTCACGGCTCCCCACATCCCTAAGAAGAAACTTCAGCTCTTTACCTGGCCCTACAAATTGGGTAACCTGCTACTCCAGCATTATTAGCAGGTCCCCTTCTGCCCTCCAGTGTTGCTAGCCTGGGTGATAAATTACATGGTCACCTTATCAAGCCGTGGGATCTACATGTCCCCAGCTTGCTCCAGCCCACAAGCCTCATGAGCCAGGCACAGAGGTTCTCTGAAGGGGACAAGCTCCTGCCTGCCGCACGACATTCATACACATTAACCTCTGCCTCGTTCCCCCCCCACCTAATTTCTATTCATCTCTCTCTCCCCCTCCCCCTTCCATCCCCCTCCCTCTCCCCTCCCCTCTCTCTCCCACTTATTTTTGCAGACAGAGTCTCAATATATAACCCAGGCTGGCCTTGCACTTGTGGCAATCCCCTGCCTCAGCCTCTCAAGTGTTCCCTCAGCCTCCCACAAGAAACCACGCCTGGCTTCCACTCTCATTTAAATTCTTCCTTTTTTAAGAGGAGGTTTCCTTTATCTACCTACCCCCATGAACCTTAGACTGTAACCTACTTTCATTCTGTCACACAAGCGCTGGTATTTCTTTTCCCGCGATTCATCCCCGATGACATAGCAATTTGTGCAACACCTGTTTCCCCCGCTAGGTTGTGAGCACCCTGAAGGTCGAGGCCACTGTGCCCCAGAGCCTAGCACAGAGCTATGCTCCAGAACTCTATGTTTTATGAATGAATAAAGAAATAAATGAATGAATGAATGAAGATGAGGTGTTTCTCACGAATGCACCCATCCACACACACACATTACTCTAGAATACTAAGTTCATCATGGTCATCTCCAGGAAGAGATAATTCTGTGGTGGCACAATCTGAACCGCGCAGCAGCGGCGGAGGTCACCCTGAGCTGCCAGTCACAAGAGGAGGTCAGGCGGGCCGTCTGTCAGGAAAGGACGGGCACCTAATGAGCACACAACACTGCGAGGGCTTCTCCAGGCGTGAGTCATCCTGCCACAGGCAAGAGATCAACCCAGTGGCCTCCAGCTCTACACCACCACAAAAAGCGCCACTGTCTACGCATCCCCCTGTGGACCCGTGGGGAAAATTCCCCGGACTATAGACTTCCGAGCTAGCTGGATGGAGGGCTCATTAGGAATATATGTACTTAACCAGATTAATTCTCCTTTGTGTGGCGGGGGGCGGGGAGGGAGTCCTGTATAAGTTCTAGAATTCTTTGAGTGATTATCTCTACAAATAGAGCTTGAATCGTATTTATTTTTTTAGAAAGACACCACCTTTCACACCGGGCATGGTGGCACACGCCTGTAATCCCAGCACTCGGGAGGCTGAGGCAGGAAGATTGCCGCGAGTTTGAGGCCAGCCTGGGCTACAAAGTGAGCTCAAGGCCAGCCTGAACTGCATAGCAAGACCCTGCCTCAAAAAGACAAAAAAAAAAAAAGACACCACCTTTCTTAGTACTTTCTGGTCACTGAGACACAATGCCTGACACCTATACCTACAACTCTGAAGAGAGGTTTATTTTGACTCATAGTTGGTCGAGGTTTCAGTCCATTGTCAGCTCCAAGGAAGCGCGTCATGGCAGAGGGCCCTGGAGGAGGAGAGACAGCTCATGGCACGGCCGTGGGAAGCATAGAGTGATCAAGGGAGAAGGAGGGACATGTATACCTTCCAGGCCACGCCCAGTGACCACGCCCCCAGTGACCCGTCTCTTCCCACCACACTTCACGTCCCAACAGCACAGCCATAAATTCATCAGAGGTCTAATCCACTGATGAGGATCACACCTCTGACCTGATCACCTGCCCACCTAGGAGTGCATGAGGTTCAGGAACAGGGGTGGGGGGGAGACATGTAGATATAAACCATAAGAACACCTTTCTTCTATCCTGCCACAGACTAGATTATGATTTTTTTTTTATTATTTTTTCAGTGCTGGGGATCAAACCCAGGCCTTCTACATGCTAGGCAAGTGCTCTACCACTGAGCTACATCCAGCTGGATCATGATTCTTACAAGATTCAATTGTTGAAATCCTAACCTCCAAGGCGATAGAAGTGGAGGCTTTGTGAGATGTTTGCAGAGCCCTCATGAAAAGGATTAGAGCACTTATAATAGAGACCGGA